GTCCGGTAGACAGCCTACGGCCGGTACGGACTGATGGGCCAGTAAATTTTATCTACCGGACTGGTTTGTAACTATGTAAACGCTAGTTACCAATTCAGTATCCTAAAAAGAATTTTTAAATTTTTAAGTTTTCATTTAAACGATATTTTATAAAATGAAATATTAGGTTCTGAAGAACAACTAAAGATACGACTTTGTAAAAAAACATGTGAATGCGTTTTATGGGTAGTAGCACTTATTCCAAAAAGAATATTCTTCAAATATTTTCATCATAGTCAGAGTCTACAGATATAAAACATACCGCAATACTCATTTTACTGGGAGGCATTGTTGCTACAATTAACTTTTAAAGTTAAATATCTTTTAATTTATCAATTCTAGACATTAATAGTATATTAAGCATCAAGAACGGTAAAGACATTTTACCGATCGAAGACAATTGTTTTTCTTTTTAATAATTTTTTTAATAAAATTTCTGACAAATAATTTACTTACCGTTCTGAATACCAACATACTTTGGCGACGACTTTGAGTATTTACCGACAAGTTTGTTGTTAGCAACAACAAACAAAATACTTACCGACGAGTTTGGGTTAATAACGAGTAAATATACAGGGTGCGCCAGAACTCGCGCCCCAGAGAAGATTTTCAAGTAAGGTAAGATACCAGGAGCATGAAAAAAATGTTTAAAATATTCTATCTGTCAAAAAATTTTGACATATGTTTTTTGACATTTGACATTTTTTTATATCTATTTAATGATAATGATGATCTTGTATATGTTTTTTTACAATTATTTAGTAAAGGGACAAAAATTTTGCCAATAAAAGCCACAAATAACATTGAACAGAGTTACAATTTAGGATACAGCTTCCTTGTTTCCTCTTTTAATGGCCTATAGCAAAAAAAATTGGAAAATTATTTTTCCAACAGAAATAAAGAGAGTCAAATTGCAAACTTTAAACCCTCATAACTTCGAAATTTTTATAGATAAAATTTTTTTAACATTTTTTCCATGTTCCTGGTATCTTACCTTATATGGCACTTTTCTCTGGGGCGCGAGTTCTGGCGCACCCTGTATACAACTTACTGTCTTGGAAACAGACGTGGGAACAATCAAATAGAGCTCAATCGCACAAAAAAGTTTATTTTTTTAGATAGACAATTTATCAATCTATTAGATGCAAATATAAAAAATAGAATATTTCATTTAATTTTTTTAAATTATCTTCTACATTTTTTAACTTTTCGACTAAAAATATTATAGTCTTAATAAAATTCGTACTTTCCTTTTTACAGTGGTAAAAAATGTTAGTTGTAGCTGTCTTAACTTTATGTAATAATTAATAAATTTAAGAAAAAATTTTTTTTCGACTAGAACATATTTGAAAAACTAAGCAAAATCGACCAATAAAAGTTTAGCTTAAAAATATTGAAATTAAAAGCTACATCCAAATATGCCAAGAAACATGGTATTTCATTTAAAAAAAACACAAGTTTGTATTGTAACTTATTTTTTCGACATTCTTTATAGTGAAAATAATTTCAGGTGATGCACTAGATTAGTATTTATCAATTTTTTACAAGAGTGCTTCACCTACCCGGGAACACACTGTGGAAAGAATGATTATTATCGGTGTTTTAGGACATGTAATCATAGTTTTTGTATTGTTTAAATATTGTTATCAAAAAAATTATTAAAACTGTAAAAAATAAAAATGTATCCCTTCCACACCTTTACTTACGTTGATGTATTCCTCAAAAACAAAATTTGTTGAAACAAATAAGTACATTGTCGAAAATGGACGCGTACCTATTAATAACATTTAAATAACAAACAAAATAATAGTTGTCGAGTAACTAAGAATTTCTTGCTCCAGTGAATCGGTAACCCACTAGGATCTCTAATGAAACCGTGTTGTCACAGTTGTAAAAAATACAATCATATTTGTACAAATAAGAAAACAAATAAATAAATAAACAAAGAAAAACAAAAAAAGAAACAATGAATAAAAGAAAGAAATATTTGGTAAACCGTTGAAGAGCCACTGAATAAATAAGACATCTTCCAAATTTATTATATTTTTATTATTTAAAATAAAATATGTACTAATTAATAGTGTAATTTTAAGCAAAATTTAAATTATCTGTTTTACAAAGGCCGTTGAGACGTAAATAACTAATTATTGCATTCATGTATTATTAAGTATTTTTGTGTTGGTCAAAAATTTTTCGTAATATACATAGGTAATTATTTTTCTCACAACCAAATACGAAAGTAACATTTTCCATCCAGTCAATATTGAACGAATTGCATTATTCTCCTAACACACGTGTGTGTTAGGAAAATAACGTAAGAGGTTATGCGATTGGCGGAGAGCCTCTAGGCGCGTATGGTTAATTACGCATGATTGGCTGTTTGTTAGCCATGTGCATTGCTTTTAACTTTTATTTTCTGCATCCTTCAAAATTGACTTAAAGTTACTTAAACTACAGACTATTTAAACCTAAATCAGTATTTAATAACCTAATTTAATAACTGTGTATCTTAGATCTTAACAGAAACATTAAATCGTTTCCTAAAAAAATAATAGCGTATTTTTATCGTGGGGTTGCAGGGCCGTGAGAAAACTAGTGTACATAACTCACTAGAAAATGTCACTTTTCGTTCTCGTTATGTAATATAATATTACAATACTCTACTTAATATATTACACGCACTTGACTGAAAACAACTATTACTAAATAATAATTTTAATTTGCTAAATTTCGTCGAAGATGGTATACAGGACACAAGATGAATAAAACCATTAAATTCGTCGTAACGTTTCGATACTTTCTTCCTTGAATGTGCCATGCCTCCCATATTCAGCCAACGAAAATTCTTCACCTGAGGAAGATACAATAAAAGTATCGAAACGTCGCGACGAATTAAATGGTTTTATTCATCCTTTGTCCTGTATACCATCTTCGACGAAATTTAGCAAATATATTTCAAGGACAAGCAAAACAAAATGGAGAATTTCACAAATAATTTCAATGCAGTTAATAATGACGTAAAATAATATTCTCGCAAAGAAATGTGAACTTATCAATTCTCGGATATTAAGAGTACATAATTCATTTCGCAAACCTGATACAGGATGAAAACTTTGCTTCGTTTCACATAAAGCATGTGAATCCGGTCCTGATAATGAGTCAAGTTTGGTCCTTTTTTTTCCTCGTCGACGTGATTTTTTGTATAAGTTATGCATACGGCCGCACCTCCGATGAAAATTATATGCTGCAGGATATAATACCTACTTGGGTAGATTGATATTAATTATCGTGTAATAAATTCAAACTTTGAAATAAAGCTCCATTCTTAATTACAGTGTTAATAATTAAAATAATAAGCCACGGTTATTAAAGTGAAATTACCCAAATAAATTTTATGTTAAATTCTATAGGCAATTACACTTTAATTAGGTCTACGAAAATTGTGATTAATCGTGTTGTTTCCACGTATTATTCCGTCGAACCGCGATGTCTATGCAAATTGTTGGATCCTTGCGTTACACCATACATAATTAAGGACAGCCATTATTCGGCAATACCCCGTTTACTCCACATTGCGCTACCCTAAAATCTAGATTCAATTACAAGAAAGTTTCATTAAAAATTAAACCCAAATACATTAAATTATGCCAATAATGAGAATTAGGATAATCAAATACATGTTGTAGAAAGCATCTATTCAAGTAAAAGTTTGAAACTCCCAAAACAATCCGCGTAGGGATGAATTGGAAACAAACGATTTTTTGAATAGCCTTCTGTAACGAGTCTATTATATTATTATTTTTATATTTTGCGCAATTTATATAGTGTTTTTTTTTAAATAAGTTTAGAGAATTTTGCATCAGATGGTGTTAATTATGAAGGCGTTACAAAATACACTTCAAATTGACATTTAGCATGTACGCCATTGAAAATTCGAGAAATTAGTAAGAATATTGAAAGCAATTTACTTGAACTGAAACCAACATCCCAAACTCATAATACACTAGGTTTTTAACGCACCGAAACAAGTTCGTTAATAAAAAAAATATAAATGGTTAAATGATTAAACAAAAAATTGAATTTTAACACACCGGTATGCAGGGTAAGTTACTAGTACTATACAGGTGCGCCAGAACTCGCGCCCCAGAGAAAAATTTCAAGTAAGATAAAATACCAGGAACATAAAAAAATGTTTAAAAAATTCTGTGAAAAAATTTTGACATTTATTTTTTTGACATTTGACATTTTTCTGTCTATTTTTATGTCTATTTAATGAAACTGATGATTTTGTATGTTTTTTTCTAATTATTTAGTAAAGGTACATACATTGTTCCAATAAAAGCCACAAATAACATTGAACGGAGTTACAATTTAGGATACAGCTTCCTTGTTTCCACTTATAATAATAGCCTGTAGAAAAAAAAAACTTGGAAAATTATTTTTCCAAAAGAAATTAAATAGAGTCAAAGTGCAAAATTTAAACTGTCATAACTTCGAAATTTTTATAGATAAAATTTTAATATTTTTTCCATGTTCCTGGTATCTTACCTTATATGGCATTTTTCTCTCTTGAATCGGTCAGCTAAATATTTCAGAAACTGTTTATCAAATTGTATTGAAATTTAGTAAATGATGGTAAAACATATTTAAATTATATCATCTGAAATATTTTTTTAATTTCTATCCCCATTTGTTTTAGAGATACAATAAGACTAACTTGATTTTTTAAATAGCACAAAAGATCATAATATTTAACATTTTGAAAAAAAGTTCTATTAATTCAGTGATGTAACACATTTGAATTAAAAACTAAAAAAATTATAAAACTTGTGTTCAAAATGCTCTCTATTTACGTCCTAGTAATAAAATAGTATATTATTTAACAAGTACATAATGGAAACTATAATAAACGAGTATACAAGCCAAAGACGAGTGTATAAATTATACGAGTGAATTATAGCCATTATAGTGACACTAGTCACTAGCAACCAACGTCACAATATATGATAAGTCAGGGTGATTTATGAGTAGCATAATGTACCTATGATTACGTAAATAATCAACGTCCAAAAGACTGTGAAATAACATTTGCCAATGTCAAAGCCTTTGAGAGAATTAATTTTCTGATCATGTGGTAAAATCCTGATTATTGTTTCCAGCAAAGAGGTAACAACTGGTAAATACTGCTTCTTCTATTTATTCTTACAAAAAAGCAAAATATAGATAGTTAAAAATAGAAAGTTTTTTCTTCCGAAATAATAAAATTTATTGTTCTTTTGACTAAAAACATTTTCGGTGTTTTTTATGATCTTACGAGCTCTCACTGACAGTTTGCTCTCTTTCAATTAACAATAGTTACAAATGACCGACAATTACTCCGTCATAGAAGCGTCTCTTTCTGCTGTTGTCGATAATTGAATTTGGGGCGACCATCCGTCATAATGGTGCGTAATTAGGTCTTACTCGTTTATAATAATTCGACGAATTGGCCACTTAATGCCCAAAATAACAATTCCTCCTGTTTCCAAACAAATAAAATTAATTTCGCACGGCTGCAATGGACATATCAAGACCAGACGCAAATTCATCAGGGCCCACCTAATGTGCAAATTTTATTGAATTACCATAGATTGACGAACACCAAATGAAAGGAACGCAATTAGGAAAACATGGTATTTTATTGTTAATGGAGTTGATATTTAACGGAAGAAAAAATCAAGAAATCAAGAGTTGGAAGCTTTTCTTTTGTTCTTGGAGGTGGACTCCGAAGATCCTTTAATGTCGTTGAAGGCTTGTAATTTTGACGCCATTAACTCCTTCTGCAATTAACGGAGTCACGATCTTTCATCAATATTTACACCACATGTTTTACCAAAGAGTCGTTTCGACGAACTAATAATTTCACATCGTCGCTAGTCACGGTTGAACGTTTTGCATGTCTGAAATAATTAATTTTAAGAATTGTGCAACATCTTTTATATATTTTACACCTACTTCTGGAACGCCTCTAAGTCTGACGCATATAAGATGAGTTTTTTCCATGTCAGTTCTGCAATTAAATCGAGAACGTCGGAATCAAACTCCAAATTAAGGTGTGCCCCAACTTCTCGTGACATTTTTCGAGAAGTAAAGTAAACGGAATGTTTTAATTTCTGCAATTGATTACAAAGTAAACTGTAGTGTATTGTGACGTGCCTTGCCGCAAATAAATTTAAACCTAGTCGTGACATCTAGCCGACACGCTTTATACTCCGCAACCGGTAGATTACAGTTAACTAAAGTAGGTTTTTCCAAGCTTTGCTTTATTCATTTAAAAAAGAAGCTTTTCTAATACACAACTCTTTAAAGCTAACTAATTCAATTACAAATATTTGTCACTTACTTGTTCTTTTGTACTCGCCATATTTCCTACTAAATTTAATGATTTCGTGACTAAACTAAAATCATATCACTCTGTCATACAAATTAAGGTTATGTTATTGTAATTGATTATACTTGGGATATTGCTTGTAAGAGGTCGCTAAAGCAGACGTTTCATAGTGGAATTAACTTTTAACGATAATATACTCGTTTTCCATCGAAGTAGTCGTTGAAAGGGATTTTTTAAGGTGGCAACTATGTAAAAATTTAAACAATCTTAACCTCAATCTTCCCTAAAAATTATTTTTTCAAACAGTTGTGTACCTCAAGTAGCAAAAATAATTAAAATTAACAACTTAATTAACGTAGGGTAGCAAAACATAAAGATTTTTGTCATTATTGATGTGATTAAATTTGTTCTGAATGACATTAGCGACACTTTTTGTGTGAATCGGGCTTTAAGTTAAAGATGCATTTAGACTTCGACAACCTACTTGATGCCACATTAATATGAAAAAAGTATATATCAAATTCAGTTAAAAATTCGTTTTTTGAAAATTTGAGATAGTCAGTAAAGTAAAAATAATTGGTAAAGTTAACAAAATAGTCCGTAAAGTGTACATGTTGCGTAATGTTTATTGCATAGTTTATCAAATTTTAACATAAATTTGAAAACTACGATTTTGTCTATCGACTAAATTCCATTTTCTTGAAATTTAACTAATGCTTTGTACAAATAATTATCACGGTAAATCGTAAAAAAATATGTTGGGATTAGATTTTTATATCATCTCTTTTAATAATTTCACTTTATTGTACTCGTAATACGTAATTTAACTAAAGGGATATTATTATGTTTACATTTTTTATTTGATATTGTTTGGTAGATTTAATTTCCCGTCTTTATTTTAAGTCCGGCAAGCAGACTATTTATTATACAGTGAGCGGCAAAGTTATGGAATAATCTTATGTATTAAAACTGAAAATATTTTGCGTGGTATCAGCTGATACCATGGGCGTCTCATTGTGTCCGTCTTTTCCAAGTTGTCTTTTGATTTTTGTATTTATTAACTTTGTTTTACAGTTTTTTTTTAAATAATTTGCCTAGTTTTAAGTATTAGTGTTAATTGTTAATGTTAATCGGTGGTGTATTTAGCGCGCACTTTGAAAAGGATTATGAAACACGTTTTCAGTGCTTATGCTCCTTCCAGTTGTTTCTCCCTCCACGGTTTTAACAAAAATGCTCCAACAGATCAATTTTGTTCTTAAAAAATACAAAATCCTCCGCTTGATTTAAAATTGTATGTTTGTTTTTTGTTGATATTATTTTATTTTTCGGATATTTTTTTTCAAAAACTTCATGTAATATTTAATATTTTAGTGTTATCATTTCAACAATAATTAAAAATATATCTAACTGTATAAAAAAATTAGAGATTTCTATTAAAAAAATGTCGATGACGTCATAACTCAACAAACAAAAAGTGTAAAATTTTAAATCAAGTTGAATATTTTGTTTTTTTTTAAAAGAAAATATTTTCAGTTTTCAGATTATTCCATAAATTCCTATTATCTTGCAAAAATTGTATTGTCAACATTTGTCCACGTATACATATGTTTTCATAATCTAAAACTCGTATTAAAATATACAGGATGTTCCGTTTTTATTGTTACAAATTTTAATAGATGATAGAATATTCCAATTGAAGACAAAAGTTACCTATAAACATGTTTCGAAAAATGCTATGTAAGGAAGCTCATCCCTTAAAAGAACTACGTTTTAAACAAAAATTCTCAATATTTCAGAATAGATTAAATTTCCAAATTTTGTACAACTGATAACCTTTTTACACCTAAACGAATTCCAAGATGGAAATGTCGAAATGTTTAATCAAGAGCGTCCTAAACGGTTTTACAAATTAAATTTTTATGCTGTCTATGGTCTGTAACATGCATTTTAAAACTGATTTTACTCAAAAATCGGTAAGTTGTATCGGAAAAATGCAAAAGACCTTTTTTTATGCAGAACTAGAAATTTAGAATTTCTTGCCGAAAGTGGCAAAAACTAGAGCCAAAATAGTTGGAGTACTTTTTACCCTAAACCCATGGGTTACTGCAGTAACCCACCCAGTTTAGGAAGCCCCTGATTTTAAAAATTTCAACATTTTATCTTTGAATTTGTTTAAGTGTACAAAAGTTATCATCTGTACCAAATTTTGTAATTTCATCTAAAATGATTTTGGAAATATTGGAAAAAAACTCAACAAAAAACGCACCCCTTTGAGGTGTAGCTCCCGGCGTAGCATTTTTACAAATTTTTTACAAATAACATTAAACAAAGTTACAATTTAGGATACAGCTTTCTTGTATCCTCTTTTAATGGCTTGTAGCAAAAAACTTTGAAAATTATTTTTCCAACAGAAATAAATAGAGTCAAAGTGCAAAACTTAAATTCTCATAACTTCGAAATTTTTTTAGATAGAATTTTTTAAACATTTTTACCATGTTCCTGGTGTCTTACCTTACATGGCATTTTTCTGTAAGGCGCGAGTTCTGACGCACCCTGTATATTTATAGGAAACTTTTGTCTTAAAATTGAATATTCGATCACCTATTTAAATTTGTAACAATAAAAACGGAACACTCTGAATAATTCAAAATCATTATGTATCTACAAGTCAAAGTCAAAGATAGTTCATTAGGTTATTATTAATGTAGAACTAGATGATCTTCAATGGAATAACAACAAAAAGTAAAAAAACTAAATGCACTTCTTAATCAGTGCAACTATTTTATAAACACTCTCCAACTTGACCGCAGCTTATCACAAACTCCGTGCCCCTAAGATACAATTAAACCGCTTATAAGAAAGATTCAACATAAACTTCAGTAAAAAACGTTCCTAAAACCTGACAGTTTAGCGCAAACGAGTAGAACGCTTCTGTTTACACTCTCACGCAGGTAAACAGTTGGACGTAACCGGAAGCTCCTATCCACCTGTTTGCACATAACTGAACTACCCTGAGAACTTCCGATCCATACCATCACATACACACACGTCTGGCTCGTCGACTTTGTATGAGGGTAACAATTAAAATAATGGGGTGCATATCTAATTAATTATTTACATAATTTGCTTCCCCTAAAGAACGCATTGCTATAGACTTTCAAGGACTGGACGAAATCAAAAGGGACCGCCAAGTTATTATTAGAAGGTCTTTCGAATGACTGATGATGGTTGCGGTCATAATTTTCTATTGTTGGAGAAACAGACTTTTGGAAAAGTTGTTATATAAAAATGGGCTTGAGACCTTGGCCCCCATCCCTTGGCAGGTAAACTAGAGTGACAGGCGAATGGCACACGAACATGGTATTGACAGCGTGATAAACTTTATTTGAAGGATTTTTTAAATGACCGCGACCGATTCTATCGCATGAAATTACTTGAATAAGGCGCAACTAATTTTTTTTAAGGTGAGGAACGTGGTAAATTCACAAGAAGTATGTTTTTGTAGCAATTTCTTAAATCAATGTTTAAGAATTAAGTGGAACCAATGGAATTATACAGAGTCTTAACTTATACGCATAAAATTAGAGAATGATAGTTCTTCCCCAATAATAACGAAAAAAAGTTATAGATCTTTGCGGAAAAAAACAAAATTGAAAACATCGAAAACTTTAATGGAACTATTCAAAAATATTTCCACCATTCTCACTTCAGGTTTCGGCTTGCCGTATTCATTGCTCTCAAGTTCCTTTCAAATTTTTTGCTTTTTCAGATTATCTTCCAAAAGAAAAACAAATATTTGATGCATTTTGCATTTTACTCATTATTGATAACTTTTTCTTTCATTGTCGCTATCGAATATCAATTTAAAGAAGTCGGTGTTAACCAGTATAACGAGCTTGGTTAAATTAATAATAGTCTTAGTATTACATAGATAAATCAAATACAGGCTGACCCAGAAGTGTGTGCAAGCTTTATAACTTTTTTTCTATTCAAGCTATTGACTTGATTTTTTTTAATGATAGGTCCGATAATGAAACACAATTCAAAAATATTTTTATTGAATACAGGATGTCCCAAATTAGATACACAACTAAATCCTGTTTTTTTAAAATAGAAACCCATAATTTTTGTTACATTTTTGAATTCGCCACTAAATTGTCGATGTAACGCATGCAGTTGTTGACTTATGTCAATTTATGTGCCAAAATAGCGTCGTGCATAGACCCACAGAAAAATTCATTCAATTTAACTTAACCAACTTTTTACCAGTCGATCCCTTAAGCTTTCGCCCATCCTCTGGTATAAAGACGAATTTAGGATCAATGTTCCATCGCCTACTATAATTTGAAAATGATAAATTACAAATGACAATAACTCAACTTTTTCAAATACAACACCCTATATTTTATTGCATCATTGCATGGCAGTTTTTATGAGTTTTTTGCCAATATAGATTTTATGGAATCTACTTGTAAAAATGTAAGATGTAGGTCGCTGTAGTAGCCTTCCATTTAACTGATAAAGTAACGTTTACTAAAATTCGGAGCTCATTTATTAAAAAACTAGCAGCAGTAGCAGCTTCTGTAGAACATGACGGTGACTAATTTGAGCATTTTCTATAAGTAGACTTTTCTCAAAATTTTTAGATTGTATCCTGTCAATCATCCTTTCCTGTTCTTGTAAAGATTACTAAAATTGTTTCCTTTATAATTTACTCCTGTTTCTATTACAATTTCATTTTCTTGAAACATAGTCTTTAAAGAATTGTTACGGATGTGTCAAATTTTACGACATACGCCTACTCGATTTCTTTTTTTTTTAACCATTAACATTTTTTATTTTGCAGAAATCTCACAAATTTCACAAAATAGACCCTACAAACCCTATATCAACAAAAAGCTCATAAAAAATGTCATGCAATGATGCAATAAAATATAGGGTGTTGTGTTTAAAAAAGTCGAGTTAGTGCCATTTGTAATTTGTCATTTAAAAAAAAAAAATCGTAGTAGGCGATGAAACATCGACTCAGAGTTCGCAAAGATGCGTTAAAATTTGAGGAATCGATCGGAAAAAAGTTGGTTACGTTGTCTTAAATGGTTCTAGTTA